TGTATTATTTTTGCATTTCTCCAGCGTTTTAGCGCATTTTCCAGTTGAAAACTCAATTATTTTGCAAAATTTTGTTAAAAACAAGCAAAAATTCAACAAAATAGGACAAAAACGGTGTCTTTTTTGAGTGTTTAACCAGGTTTTTGGGATAAAACGAAAGAATTCAAAAAATTTTGTTCAAATAAGCTGAAAATTTTTAAAATTAAATTGAAGTTTGTTTTATTTGACTTGCTTCGTTTTTGAACCAGAGACTCATTTATTTTGCAAAATCATGTCAAAAATAATTCATATTGACTATAAAAAACTATTTTTGAAATTTTAATCAATGACCATATACTATATTTACCTAAATTAAAAAAAATCGTACCACAGTTTATTATTTACGACAAGTTATCAAAAGATAGGCTAGAGAAAATATCATTGTATTAAAAAAAATCATGTTATTTTTTTATTTTGTACTTAATGTTAAAGAGTGCTTTTATCAACTAATTTCAGTAGATAAAGTAGTCTTTTATCGTCTAGTGAAATAAAGTAATTTTTATCTACTGTTTATAATCAAGAAAGAAAACGAAATATTATACACGACGATAAAGATTGTTTATCAACCTTTTCACTATTAGATAAACAATTTCTTTATCGTCTTGTATAATAAATAACTAAAATATCTTTTTTAAATATGAWTTTTTTTTTTCATTAAAAATACTAAATTTGTTATTTAGAATCCAGAGACAGAAAATTGGATTTTTTCTGCCTTCCCATTCTTGTATTTTTAAAAATGAGCAATTATTAAATTAAAAGAAAATTGTTAATTTTTGTAACAAATAAATTTTTAATGAAGTATTTTGTTAATTTTACCACTGTTTTGTACTTTTTTGGTGTTGAAGTTCTGACTAAAATTCTGAAAACAAGATTCTAAATAACTATCAATAGTTCTCTAATCTCAGTATTCCAGAATTTAAGAATTTGATAAAAACAAATAATAATAAATATTTCGCAAATGGTTTTTTAAGTAATTTATCTTTTGTAAACATTGTTTACGAATATTGATTGGTTTGATTCACCACATTTTTATGTTGTGATAAAAACGAAGTGCAAAATTGTTCAGGTAGTGTCAGTGGAATAAAATTAAAAACTACCGTTGCAACCTTTGACCACAATATTTAATGGTCTTGTTGGTTTTATTATGTTTTGTTTGTGACTGTTCAGAAAGCGTCTAGAAAAGATATTGTTATTGCTGATCTCTCTTAGTTGCCACACAATTTTTTTTGACAGTATAGGGCTGAAAATTTTTACAACAAATAGCAACGTAAAGAGAATCTTATTATTAAGGCACGGATTATATGCACGAAAAATCCGTAAAATATGCGCATATACATATATGCACGTATTTTCACAAAAATATGCACAAAATATTAAGAAATATGCTCCAATATATGCCAAATATGCATCTATATGCAAAACTTTTAACAATAAAAAATCAAAGTTGGAATAAATTTTTATCCTGGAATACACTAAAGTTTGTATTTTAATCATGTTGAACCGCACAGTATGAACGAAAGAGAATAAATTGGCTTTGCCTCAGACAAGCCATTTTAAGTAATTAAGTCTTTCTAAGAAATCTGTACTTTTCAGATCACTTTAAACAGTTTTGCTAAAATTCATTTGCAGGCAACT